ATGTAAAACGGTTTGAACTTATCATCTTCTAATCATCATAGGCTTTTGAATGTAGTTGTTAAACCATGTTTAGAAGAGCCAAGGTCCTTGATGGGAATCTTCAAAGTCTTCAGAGCCTTGACACTCTTCCTTAGAACCTGGTCTTCAAAGTCTTCAGCACTTCGTTCTTCCAAATCTTTATATCTGGAGCGCAGAGTCTTGAAGAAGACATAACCTTCAAAGGCTCCTTTAGTCAAAGTCATGATCAGAGGCTTTAGCATGAACGTTCTTCATAACAGTTGTCTTACAGCTTTCTATATCTTAATTACTTCTTGTAACGCGTTTGTTTTTCTTCAGAGTCAGAGTGTGTTGATTCAGAACCTGATGACGTCACTCGCCAATGCTTCAAAGTCAGAACCTGTTAAGAAAAAGTTACACACTTGACATAAACTATTAGCGTACAAATTTTTTTTATAAGTATCAATGTATTATTATCATCAAAACTAAAGGCTAGATGTAGAACCAAATCTTGGTCTAACAAAATGATAGTGGGATAATCTCCTTAGTCTTGAAGACAAAACCTAAATTAACTTAGCTATTAAAACATAATCCAATGAATCTATTTTTGTTACAACTCTCTTGTACACTATTACCAAGTTCTTTGTAGGAGAGCCTCTAAAGCTCCAGTAAAGAGCAGTAGACCAGTTACTAAATCTTTATTGTCCAACCATGTCTGATTATAGATGGTATAAAGATATGTTTCTTTCTAACCTCTACCGTAGGTTAGATGATGTTGCTGGTTATTGAAAAGAAATATTCATTGGTGGTTTACCCATATTTTTTGTGGAGAAGGTTAAGACAAATATCAAACAAAATTTCAACGGGATTATTCCTTATCAATCCTTAATTGTGGGTGAATTATCCAATTATGTTATTGAAACTGATATACAAATTTGTACTTACTACAAACTTCAAAATAAGATTAAAAATAAAAAATGAATAATAGGCACGAAATTGGTTCATTTTGCGAACAATATGGAGCTACTCCTTTAAGAGCTTCTACTAACCCTAAGAATAAAAAGGATGCTATTAAAAATAAGAAAAACTTATGTTACCATAAGAAATAACCTTACAAAGATAACTCTAAATTTTACAAAGCTTCTTATAAGAAATATTATGGTAAGAAACCTTACAAAAAATCCTATGCTAATTATCGAAACCAAAAGACAAAGATGTCAAATGTTTTAAATGTAGTCGTTTTGTCCATTATGATAATAAGTGTAAGATTCAAGAAAAAATTAATCAATTAAGAAATTTAGACATTTCAGAGGAGTTGAAAGAAATTTTGATATCTACATTAAAAAATATCTTGCTTAATTCTGAAGAAGAAGAAGATAACTCTTCATCTTATGAAAAATCTTCTTATGACGATATTCATCAAATTAATAATTTTGAGGAGTCATATTCTGATTCTGATGAATGTTTAGGAATAGACTTTTATAATTGTAATAGTTGTGATAAAAGAATTATTGTTCTCATTAACCATCAAACTAATACCCTAATAGAAATATTAGATAGTATGAAAGAATCTGAAAGTAACAATGCTTTCATGAGGAAAATCAAAAACATTATTGATGAAAACGATATTTGTAAAAAGCATGTTAACAAAGTAGAATTTAAAGATGTTATGAACTTATTTTTTTAAAAAACAATTGAGAAAATTGTTTCTATTAGTGACTTACAAGAAAAATTTAAGAGTTTAAAAATGAAATTCAAACTCTAAAAATCCAGGATGATGAGATAGAACTTAAACTTTTAGAATTACAAGATCACATGATTATTCAAAATCAACATGTGTTACCTTCTTCTAGTAAAAAACATGAGAAAACTAATGAAGGAATTATTGTTTCAACCAATGAAGATCTCTCTATCAATAAAAAAGAAAAGATGATATCTCACAAATGGTATAGTAAAATAAATCTCATTATTAAAGATCAAAATTTTGAACTAGTTACTTTAATAGACTCAAGGGAAGATTTAAACTGCATTCAAGAAGGGTTAATCCCAACCCAATATTACGAGAAAAATAAAGAATCCTTACGAGGAGTCAGTGGTAACAAATTACATGTGTCTTATAAACTATCCAACGGTAAGACTTGTAAAGATCAAATCTGTTATAATTTTTTTTTCCTTCTAGTTAAAAACATTGAAGAAGTCATTATTTTAGAAACCCATTTCCTAGCTTTACTTTATCCTTTTATCGTTGATAACATAGCTATAACTACTAATGCTTTAGGATATGAAGCTAAGTTTGAATTTTTAGACCAACCTAAGAATAAGATCTTAACTCTGTCCAAAATAAAGATATATCTTTTATTAATAATAAAAGAAAACATATTAATTTCATAAACAAAGAAATACATTTTAATAGAATAGAAGAACAATTACAGTCTTCCTGTGTTTAAAAAAATTAAAATCATGCAAAATACGTTTACTAAAGATCTCTGTTCAGAACGGCCTGATTCCTTCTAAAAAAGGAAGATACACATTATTTCTTTGCTTTATGAGTCTGACTATAAAGAAAAAGAAATTCCGACTAAATTCAGACCTATACAAATGAATATGCAACATTAATATTATTGAAAAAAATAAATACAAGATTATTTTAAAAAATATTTCATTAGGATGAGTAAGTCTCTCTGGAGCTGCTCTGCATTTTATGTTGTTAATGTTGTTGAATTAGAAAGAGATAGTCCTATATTAGTAATAGACTATAAACATTTAAACGAAGCTTTACAATAGATTACATATCCTATACATTATAAAAAAATAGATTTAATTAACATATTACACCATAAAAATATATTTTCTAAATTTGAACTTAAATCTGAATATTATCAAATTCAATTAGAAGAAACCGCTTTTGTAGTTTGGACACTATGAATGAAATGTTTTTCCCTTATGGCTTAAAAACACTCCCTCAGAATTTTAAAATATAATGAATTCTATCTTTAATGATTACTCCCACTTTACTATAGTATATTTAGATGTTGTTTTAGTCTTCTCAGATTCCATTAATCAATATTTACAACAACTTAATCAGTTCTATGAAATAATTAAAGATAATGGTTTAGTTTTATCCGAAAAGAAATTAAACTTATTTCAAAGTAAAGTAAGATTTTTGGATTTTGATATTAGTCAGGGCATGTACACCCCTATTAGTAGGTCCTTAGAATTTGTTAATAAATTCTCTGACGAATTAAAAGATGAAACTCAGTTACAAAGGTTTTTAGATTGTCTTAATTATGTGTCAGACTTTATTCCTAAGCTTAGAACTATTTGTCTTCCTTTATTTAAGAGATTTAGAAAGGATCTCCTACCTTAGGATGATTCCATGACCAAAAGTGTATACAATTAAAATAGATAGTTAAGAGATTGCCTTGCATATGAATTTATGATCTAAAAAATAATCTTATTGTTGAAACAGATGTCTTTGACCTAGGCTTTGGTGGTATATTAAAACAATTACTTCCGGGAACAGATAAGGAACAAGTTGTTAAATATTACTCTGGAACTTGGTCTCTAGTCCAATTAAATTAGAGTACTATTAAGAAAGAGATTTTAGCCGTTGTTTTATGTCTTACCAAATTACAAGATGATTTGTTTTTAAAATCATTTTTATTAAAATCAGATTGTAAAACTACTAAGGGTGTTTTAAAGAAAGATGTTAAAAATTTGGTTTCAAAATATTTTTGCTAGATGGAAATCTTTGTTATCCTATTTTAATTTTGAAATATAACATATTGAAGAAATTAAAAATTCTTTACCAAATTTTTTAACTCGAAAATTTTTAGAGGATAAAAATGAGCAAGAAACAAAGTGATCTCAGAGATGATTATGGACCTCCATTGTATTAAATGATAAAGTCATTGTTTTAGGATCACCTTCATGTATTACAAAAATTAGTTCTCCAATATCTTGTTCCCCCGAATCTATGATTAGGTATGCATTATTATCTCCATTATCTTTTACTCAGAAAATCACTACTTCCTCGTCTTCTCAAAATAAACCCACTTTAAAATTAACTTTTTATACTCCTCCATCTTCTATAAAATTTTCTTTTATTATCAAAAATCTATCAGAACCTCCATTTTAAACATATATACTTTCTTTCAGATGCATCATTATTATAAGTTATTTCAAAAAAAAATCCTCCTAGATTTTTCTTTTTACCAAAAGATTTATCAAAAATCCGAGAATATACTTTCTTATTCATCAATATGATGAAAATGAAAAATGAAAAATTAAGTTCTTCAAATTCAAAATTATTAAAGTTATATATATATATATATATATATATATATATATATATATATATATATATATATATATATATATATATATATATATATATATATATATATATATATATATATATATATATATATATATATATATATATATATATATATATATATATATATATATATATATATATATATATATATATATATATATATATATATATATATATATATATATATATATATATATATATATATATATATATATATATATATATATATATATATATATATATATATATATATATATATATATATATATATATATATATATATATATATATATATATATATATATATATTAGAAACTCTTTAAATTAATAATGTCAGGACCGGTAGAAATTTATTAATTTAGAGAGTTATTAATTTATTGATAAATTAATAATTATTAATTTAAAGAGTTTTTAAGTAATTATACTGTACATACCAAACAAAAGGGCAAATTAGTCTATGACTCTTAGAATTACGTTGCAGCGAACCTTGAGACTCAACGTAAATTAGTAACTACTGTGCTCATATGCATTGGAAATCAATAATGACTTTTGAAGTACAGTAAACGTAAACAAGAGGAACAAATATTTTCAATATATTCTTAAGCAAGTTTGCCATATATAAATTACATGAATGTGTTAGAGTATTCAAACCATATCTCACAAAATGACTTCTCATCTAAAAGGTGTTGCAAAATCAACTATGTCAGATCAAATACGTAAAGAGTTGTGTGAGTACAAGAGAGATAATCCTGCAAGCACACAAAAAGACTTGCAGAGATGGCTTGAGGGAAAATTTCAGTTGAAAGTTAGTCAAGAAACAATATCAAACACACTTAAACGGTCGGATGACTATCTTTCTGTTGAAATAGAAAAGGGAAGAGCAGAGATCAAAAGACACAAACCAGCAAAATATCCTGACATGGAGAAGGTTGTTTATGAGTGGTTTCTCCAGCATCAAGAACGTGTGAATATCACAGGAGAATTAATTTTGCAGAAGGCAAGAGATACAATGAGACTCGTGTACCCTCATGACGATTCAGGTTTTAACTTCTCTATAGGATGGCTTGGGAAATTCAAGAACCGACATGGCATAAAGTCATTTCGTCATTTTGGCGAGAGTGAGTCTGTTGATGTACAAGACATGGAGCAGAAATTGCTCGATTCAGGAGAAAATTGATCAATTCCCTATGAAAGATGTTTTCAATATGGATGAAACTGGGTTGTTTTATAGGCTACAAGTTGATCATTCACTGGCAATAAAACAACTTGAAGGAAGAAAACAAGATAAAGAAAGGCTAATAGTAGTTATTTGTTGCAATGAAGATGGCTCTAAAAAATTCCCTCTATGGATTATTGGGAAATATGCAAAGCCTCGTTGCTTCAAGAATGTCAACATGAATAGCTTGGATTGTCAGTATTGAGCAAACAAAAAAGCATGGATGACTAGTGTGCTTTTTGATGAATATGTTCGTTCATTTGACCAAATGATGCATGGTAGAAGAGTTCTACTTGTGGGGGATAATTGTCCAGCACATCCAAAAAATATTGAAGGGCTAAGAAACGTTGAGTTGTTCTTCTTGCCACCCAACATGACATCAAAGATTCAACCTTGCGATGCTGGGATAATAAGAGCTTTCAAGATGCATTACCGTAAAAGATTTTACCGCAAAATATTAGAAGGTTATAAGGTGGGACAATCTGATCCAGGGAAGATAAATATCCTTGATGCTATCAATTTGGCAATCCCAGCTTGGACGATAGATGTTCGAAAAGAAGTAATAGTGAATTGCTTATGACACTGTAAAATTCGTTCAGCTAGTGACGTTGCAAGAAATTTGGATGAATCCACTTTTGATGAAGAAACTCAAAACCTCTAGACTATAATCAATCAATGTGGCTATCGTAATAAGATGGATATCGACAATCTAATGAACTACCCAGGTGAAAATGAAGCATTTTCGGAGGTTCAGAGTTTAGAAGATATTGTGGGTACTATCATTGAGAACAATGTAGAGGATGACGACGAAGATGATATGGTGTCTTTGAAGCCTGTTACGCGAAAGGAAGCACTTATGGCGTCGAACACTCTTCACAACTTTATGACACAATACAAAAATACAACACCTGAGCTATTAGATGCAATAAAAAAAAGTTAGATATGAGCTCAAAATAGACTTGAACTTTAAAGGAAAACAGACAACTATTGAATCATATTTCAATAGAGTGTAATATTTTTTTTTTCCAGTTTCTATGAATTATTAATTTATGATTTTTTTGGGACCGAAAATTATAATCTTATTATTTCATCGAGATTATATATTTTTTACAATGGTCCAAATCGGGACCGGACAAATTTATTATTTTAGAGAGTTTATTAATTTACCAAGTATTAATTTAAAGAGTTTCTAATATATATATATATATATATATATATATATATATATATATATATATATATATATATATATATATATATATATATATATATATATATATATATATATATATATATATATATATATATATATATATATATATATATATATATATATATAAACAGTAATTCTGTATCATAATTCTTATGGTAAAAAATTGAGAAAATATTTAACATGATGCAACATTTGATTTAAAATAATGATCATACTAGAAAAAGAAAGTGTGATGGAGAAATTTCATCACCGAATTAGTAGAATATTGAAGAGCTGTCTAATTTTCACACGCTTTCAACAAAATAAAAATCTTATCCATACAACTTATATTATTTAATTCAAAATAAAAATCTTATCCATACAACTTATAATTATTTAATTATTTGTTTGTTTGTTTGTTTTTATTTATCTAATTTATTATATTTGGACCTTATTAGTTTCATCAGTGATGAGTTGTACATATCATCACTTAAATTCTTTAATACAAAAGAGAAATTAAATATCTGTCATAAAAATTATTTATTTTGATGTAATAGAAGTATCACATCAGAGTAGTCCCCATTTCTTCCAATTATATACATGAAATGAAAGGTAGTAGTTTGGGACATAGAAATGACATATTATAGTGGTAAACAGGTCCACTTTTTTTTTTTAATTTCTTTTTTATAAACTTAGTTAATCAACATTTTAATTAGAGTTTAGTATGGGTTTATCTTTATAAAATCAAGAGCTTTGAAATTTAATCCTTATTAAATTTTAATCTAGTCTTTAATAGTATTGAATTTTATAAAAATAATTCATATTTTAAAAACTTTTTAAATATCAAAATAATCTTATAAATGCATAATAGAGATTAAAAATAAATAATCATTTTGAGAAAAGAAAATAATGCTTTGACTTCAAAAAAAATTATTTTGAGAAATTACAATTTATTCAACTCTTTTAATTATTTTGAGGAATTACAATATATATAAAAGTTTGAAAAAGAACAATATCTAAGAAATTTGAGCTAAAAATTTATTTTAGAGAATGACTTGAATCATTTGAGAGTCAGTTTTGAGCTAAAAATATTTTATGATTATAGGTTTGATTTTTATCTTGATTCCTCTATTTTTATTATTTTATAAAATTAGCTTTTTGTTTTTGAATTCACAGTTTTAGTTTATTTCTTAATGTTTTAAACTCAAAAATAATAACACGGTGTATTTTAAATGATGTGATATATCATCCGAAGATGTAGAGTTGATTCAATAAATTAATTGTTTAAATGCCATTAACTAAATAATTTTAAAAAATAATTTATGAAATTGAAATTTAGGTTTTTAGGACTTTTTCTTGTAATTTTATTGGTACGATTATTCCACATCATGACATTGCATGCCACATCATTTAATGGATCAAACATATTTATTACAATATCATGTTTTCTTTTTTACATCATTTTCTATTATTCATTTCCATGCAATTTTTTTAATCAAATCAATAAATAACTAATTTTAACTTATTCATTTAAGAATCAATTACCATATAGGAAATATAACAATTAAATAAGTATAGGTATAGATTTTTTTTTTAATAAACAATCAATTGTATTAATGAAGAGTATATCAGATACTCAATCCAATCAATACAGGAGAAAAAAGAAAATAAAAGACAAAATATTATAAAGAGAGAAACAAACATCAATTAAACAATGTAATAAACTTGAGTTAGTCCAAACTTTTGCTATACAGGATCAAAATCAACATCACTCAACAGCATCATCAAAGTTATTCGATTCAGGCCTCCAGAATCAATCACTCCGACTATATCTTCTCCCTACTCTTGATCAAAAGCACTTTCAAGTTGTAAAATATCATGATCAATTTAGTATTTTGAAATTTCCAATTTCATAACTCTAACCCTAATTTCTTCCATTTTAATCTTGTTTTTCGTTAATTCAAAGCTGCATGTTTTGATTCCATGAAGATTAGGTGGTTATTTTCGACTTAAATTCCTAACTTTCGAGTTTAGGGGTCTTGGTAATCCTCTGGTTTTTATTCGGATCGAGACAGCGGTGTTACCATGACTTAGAAAAGGGTTGCTAGTACCGATAGAAAGGGTAGAAGAGGTGGTTTTTCAGTTTGGAAGGAGAACAAAGGAAAATGAGCTACTTCAGGTGAAACTACGACTTCATTCTTCGTCACTGAGTTTCCAAAAAAGATGAATGCTAAAGACCTGTTTGAGGTCTTCAAGGTCTACGGAGTCATTTCAGAAGTTTTCATTTCTGCTAAGAGAGATAAGCGAGGTAATAGATTTGGTTTTGCCAAATTTCGGAAAGTTCATGATCCAAGAATCCTGGCCTGCAACCTTGATAGTATCGTCTTGGAAGGCAAAAAGATCCATGTTAATATACCCAGGTTTAGTAAGGAGAACAAGAGGCATTTTCCAATTAGTGAAAATTTGAGGAGTAATATTCAAACTGATCATTCTAGGAATTTCATGAAACCCGATAATCTGGATAGGTCCTTTGCCAAAGTGGTAAGAGGAGATTACCCTAAGCCTGTTGATAGGGTCAAGGGAAGAGGTCAATGCACAAAACTAGAGTTGGATGATGAATGGTTAAAGAGGTTGAATCGTATGAGAGTGGGTGAAGTCATGGAGGATGGTAATGCTTTCAACATTCAGAAGTTAATTTTTGAAGAAGGATATTTTAACATTAAGGCTACTCCCTTGGGAGCATCATTGTGCTTGTTGGAAGATGCATCTGGAGGAGACATAGAGGAGTTTGTTAAGGAAGCTAGAGAATGGCTGGATATCTGGTTCAGAGACATCTGCAAGTGGAATATGGAGGAAATTGACAGAGACAGGATAGTGTGGGTAAACTGCTATGGTTTACCTTGTGTTTCCTGGAGTGAGAAACATTTTAGACAGATTTCTTCTAGTTTGGGATCTTTCGTCAAGTGCGATGAGAAGACGAGGAACAAAGAGAACTTGGACATAGCGAGACTTCTTATTAAAACAAGATTCAGGATTATTCTGAATAACTTGGTTGACATTGAAGTGAATAATCTCACCTTTTCACTTTCATTCACAGAAGACCTTTCGTGTGGGCGTGGAGATCCCTTGTTTGGTGAAGAAGATGAGGTGATATATTTAGATGATTTTGAATCCTCAAACCCTTCAGATTTAGATGGCGCGTCGGAGATACCTGAAGAGGAAGAAAGTGATGATCTCAAATCCTCGTACTCCAAGACAGAAGTCAGAGCACTAACTACTGTTGTCCAAAAGGCAGATTGTGATATTTCTGTGTCAGACAACGTGTCTGTTATTAGGGATAGTATAGGGCTAAGTGTGGAAGGTGATGGGTCAAAAGGGAACAATCATAAGGGTTCAGCTGCTTTGATCCGTTCAGAAGGAACTAAACCAAATAACTTTTTGGTTGACTTGGAACTAAATCAGTCCAAAGCAGATTTTGAGTTACCCATTCTTAATGGGGAATTGGTGGTAGATTTGGGGCTGCCTTTACCAATTAATGGGCCTTCTAGAGGAGTTATTGGGCCTGCTGTTAGAGAGAAAGCTAAAAAGAAAAAACTTCTTCATGAGGTTTTTAACTGCATTAGAATACCCTACACCCCCTCTTACTTCTCCACTATACTTCTCACGGCCCCCAAGGAGAACTTTAAACCTGATTCGAAAGGAAATGCTAGGGAGGAAAGGAAGAAGAATAAGCTGTCTAAAGAAGTATTAGAGTCTAGTTCTGCTCTAT